CACCGCGATCAATAACGTCATAACTCGCATTTGTATGCTAATGATAAAAATGTAAAGAAAAAAACATATAGAAGAAAAGAAAGTTCAACAGGCCTCTTTAGTTACCTAAAATAATGAATTTTAGAAAATAAAAAGAATGGGCGACAAAGTAAAACAAAACGCACCACAGAAAATCAAAGCAAACTGGACGTGTAAATGGGATCACATAAACAAGAAGACTTGGCCACTCGCCTAAGAATCCTACTGATACAAAATGAAGCAACGATTTGATCTCAGTTTTCAGTTAAACCCTGTAAGATTAGCAATAAGGGACTTACATAGTTTCTACTCAGTTCAAAATGTGTTGGGTCTAAGCCATCGTCAACCACAGTAACCTCAACTCCGGCGCCGGTATAGTTCATCTTCCAAACATCTCTTACATTGTAGTTACTTTCGTAGTCTGTGTTCTTTAAAGGTTCAGAAAAAAAAAGTAAGTTGTGTGCCTGTTTTCGCAACTCCACAGTTGTGTTTGCAGAAAAGTTAAGAATGCAAGATATTCACCCAAAACTGAGTTTACAGTTCAATCGAAAGATGGATTACAGATGAATCTTTTTTAATCCATTTTAAGGATATAAGCGGCTTCTCGCCAAACCAAAAATCAATTTTTTTTCACCAAATAAGCGGGGCCAGAAATTGGTAGCTTCAGGAAATAAAATTGATTTAAGGTGATAGTAAGGTTGTTTAATAATTATTACTTACAATGTACCACTGAAGACCAGCACTGGTGTCATTAAATGGCATATTTGATGCAGAATGGAGCTAAAAAAAGCAGCAACAATCATTATCATTGACAATTTCCAACATCACTTGTTTTATCTGCGGAGCTGATTAGTGAAGTGACTGGTCTACCGGCGGAAAGAGGACGCTCGTGATGTTTTAAATAAAAGAATACATCACTGAGAGCGCAAGGGTGAAGTTCGACGAGTCTCTTCGAGGTTTGCCATACATTTTCCGAGAATCACATTTTGATACCCTTTTCTGAGAAATGAATTGATTTTTTTCTTATAGCTCAAACCTATACAGTCTGTAGTTAAATTCTAAATAGTTATACTCGGAGATCGAAGTGAGTGATTTTATACTGTTGCCTTAGGCAAATTTTTTAAACTTCTCTCGCATTCATGCTCTTCTGATTCTGGTAGCCTCTAGTCCATCTTGACACCTATCCGGGCAAGCAAAATACCAAATTGATTTAATACGTAGGCCTTACGAATTTATGCACGCGCTTTTTGGACTTAGGCCGACTGAACCCAAACAGTACATTCCTGCTCCAAAAGCAACTGAATCAAAATATTTCAATGACCTGGAATTGAACATTGCGTCCCTTAGCTTGCAAGCAAATTGCTGTTTCAGAGCCGATTACTCTGAAACCTAAGCCGTTAGCAATATGTGAGATGTAGCTGACTTAGCTTCCATTCATCAATGAACCGACTTTCATCCGAATATTTTGAGAAAACAAAAGGTAAACATGCAATAAAAATCACCAAGATTCCCATACTCATTTATCCGTGTCCTATCGAGCTCGATAGAAAATGTTTTTGTTCTTAAACATGCGTGTTAGATATGATTGTGGCTTTGGAAGTTACTTCCTTGAAAACTGAACACTTTAAAAACTTGTTTGTTATTTCGTCAACACTTAGACCACTCATTTGGGGTCAGGAATGCAGGAACAATTGTTGAATCCTGACAGCCAACAGCACGTACGTGATTAAAAATAAGCATTTTGATGTAGAGGTGTGGGGGTTGGGGGGAGAGTGGTGGTTAAGATAGATTAAATCAATTTACAAAATAATTAATCATAAATCTGTAATAACTGGCGACATTGATTTAATCTGTGTCAAGAACTAACAATTTGTAAATGTTTTATGTCATGCTGTACTTCTTGGATATTTGGTAATTGCTGTTACCGGGATCACAGGAAAATTTTTCAGTCTGCTTTGGAGTTTTCTCCATGAAATAATGCCTACCGTGAGTAAGCAACTCAGAAACAACTTGAAATACTCCTTATGACTTCCTGCGCCTGACTTTTAGCCGGTACTGCTCGACGTACTGTTGTTACTAATCGATTATTCTCTACATAGTTTGTTTAAAGTACTCTTCGCTAGGAGTGTGAATGGATTGTTTACGATTATCTTTTCCCCTCGTGTTGACTTTTAATCGTGAGATCGACTCAGCACATGGGGATGTTTTACTTCATTTGCGAACAAACTGGAAGAACAGAAAGTCAAATAACTCGAAGTCCCAGACCCATAGACTTCTTTAACTCGAACTTCCCATTCACCAATAGCGAATGGTATGTCTACGTAAAAGTGTGCTTTCATCAACCATGTTAAGATCAATTACAGAAAGACAATATCTGCTCACGAAAACGAAACTCATTAGAGCAACCAAGATGGAACAATGAGTTATTTTAATAGCTTTGCTTCTTGTAATGCTTTCCTTTCGGTAAATGTTCTGGATTAATATTTTGATGTAGTAATTAGCCACGATTAGCGTAAAGCAAATTGAAGGAATACAATACAGTATCTTCTGCATGCTAAAATAACAAGACCGAGGTTTTGTTGCTGTCTCTGTTCGTCACGCCTTTTACCTCTTTTTTTCATGTGTTCCATTTTAACCTAAAACAAGACACTCAGAAATGTTTGGGATGCACTGGTAGCTTAATTAATTGCATCAAGCATGAGAAATGGTATGCCATCGGTAAACATAATTTATGCTTAGAGTGTAAAAGTGACCGAATAATTTTTACAACCGACCCTTCAAGCGTACAGCTGTCACGCTATCATGATTACAGCCGACTGTATTTTTGAGTAAAACAAAACATGGCTAACTTTTTGCAGCCAAACCAGTTTTGTCCTCACAGGTGACAAAGTATTAGAAAACGTAGATTGATACATGGTCAGCAGAGAAAACAAAAACGTAATTAACCCAACGGCTAACTGATTTTTCTCGGCATTGAATATCACCGAATTGATGGTCACTGGACGCACGCTCTTGTACGCCTACACAGGTATCGATTGATGAATAGCGAGCAAATATGTATTCACGTTACACATTTACATGAACGCATGGAAAACCCATCCTAGAGTGGGTATATCTTTGAGAATTCTAGGATTTCCTGAGTTAGTTTTCTTTTGTTTCCTTGTAGCTGTCAAATTTCCAAGCTTATAAGCAAGTGAATCTTCTGCAACAATTATCCGGTTGGATGCAGGGAAAATGAGACGTTTTCTGCTTGTTTCAAAAGGGAAGAAGGACTATGCTGACCGTTTGGCTTGAGAGTGAAGAGTCAAAATAAAGTAATTGAAATGTCTCGTTCAACAATGGCGCTTTGGAAGTATATTCTGGTTGATAAGTAGGAAACTTGAGAGGGCTAACAGAGAAGCATTGAATCGTTTAATTGACCTCGAAAGATTTCGATTTAACAAGCAAATAACAAAATGACATCCCCCGTTGCTGAGAAAATTGGCAGAAAATAGTTTCCTTGCGGCTGAAATTAGGGAATCCTTCGCAAATCAAAAGAGTATCGTCCGCTTTAGTTTAACTTGGGAAGAAAGCAGCAACCGCGCACTCAGAAATAAAACTTCAGACACGTACGGACAAACAAAGACGCTTGACCTCGAAAGTATTTGTCTGTTCAAAGTGATTTTTTTAGACCAAATAGAAGCCGATATTACTTTTTGGGAAAGAAATCGCTAACGGTAATTTACATGCACGCTCCTACGTCGCATTGTCTCCAATATAGAACTTTTATAAATGGGATATTTACCACTTCAAATTTGCACAAGTAGGTCCACGATTAGTAGAGTACTTCTTTGACTGTTAGATTGAGAGCAGGAAATAAGTATATTATCATTGCAAATGAACTTACATGTCCGACGACCTTGCATACAGCAGCTTTCAAAAACTGAAAGTGTACTGATTCTAATTTGGCTCGAAATTTGTTATCTCTAAAGCTTTTCAAGATCTGAGTTTTTTTTTCTTCAACTGAGTCTTTAACGCTTTCAAATCGTAAACCGCCCCTTTCCGAAATCGCTCGTCACCTTTCATTGTGGGCCTACCTCGAATGGTGTGTGCATCTGGAAGGGTATACAAGACGCCGACATTATTCTTTCGTAATTTCTCAGTATTCAGCTTTTCTCGAACACCGAAGACGATTAGCACAGTGGCGAGTTTCTTGGCTAGCATTTTTTAAATCCGAGTATTCCTAAGGAAGCTCGAATAATCAATATAGGAACCTTTAGAACCAAAAATTCAGGCGTGAGAAAAAAAAATAATGATAACGGTTGATTAGTTAACAGGCTTGGTTTACTTTCTTGTTTTCACTTGCCCCTTCTTTAAGGCTCAAACACAGAAGGAAGTATCAGTCGCCAAATTCGTTAGCATCCGCTTTCTGATCAGACTTCCACTCATAAGAATACGCTCTGCTCGTCTGAAAAAAAATGTTACATTTATCAATGTTGCCAGAGTTCCAAGTTGGATATTTGCTGCTTCAACGAAACTGAAGACTATTCATTTTTTTTTTTAAATTTCACTTCAATGTTCATTTTTCAGCATCATCAGAAAGGTATTTAAATTTATAAACTCTGACATAAAATAGCATCCCTCACTGTCGGTTGAATAAGGATTGTATAAATAGTTTTGCTGAACTTTGATCCGTGAGTGGCAGGGGAAGTGACAAGCTGAAGGATTAAGTTGCACTCAAAGAGTTTTAAAATGCTTCTATATACTGAACTCTTCATTCGGTTGCCTAGTCTCTAATGAGCTTGCTCAGTCTCTAATGAGCTTGTTTAGTCATTCCAAACAACTTGGTGGATGTCGAGGCTTCAAAATGGTTAGGATTATGCAGCTTCAATATTTGCTGATGCCCTAAAGAGTTTTAAACGTCGAGTAATAAATCTTTCCTGGTTTTTTCTATGCCTTTGCTTTAGCAAATCCCTGCTGATCAAGTGTTTTTTTTTTTATCTCCTTTATTCAGGGAAACTACTTCGTCCTCAGCTTATTGCTGCTCTTGTCCGTCTGTCACCCAGTCATCTCAACCCAGGTATGACATGTAAACTTCTTAGTTAAAGAAAAGCATGGGAGCTTAAGATCTTATTTTACAAGGCAGAAGAAACGGAACAGAGATGTTTTTAGGATATGAATTGTACCAGACGAAGATTTCAACGGCTTCGAGTCACTCTGAGTGACGGTTGCCATTCGTTACCATCTTTAAGACCTGTACTGTTTTTGGCTGCAAAAGGTCCTATTTTTATACCTATAAAGCAAGAGCAGTTTATACTAACTTGAATCCAAATTGCCCTTTCAGGCAAAACATTTTACCATGGGTATAAATGAAAAGGGAGCCAATTTTGAGGAAGACGTCGAAATTGACGAAGAAAAGGACACGGTCATATTTCGCGTTCCTGCTCACAATAATGTTGTCAGTGCAAGCTTCTAAAATGACTTCAAACTGGTAAGTTGAAGGGGAAGCGAAAAAAAGCACCTATACCTAATAATTATAAAGCTCTATTTTATTTCTAAAGGTAGAACTCTCGTCGTTATCAACGCGGAGTTTAGGGAAAAAAGAGAAGGAAACCAACTCAAAATAGGACGATCTTAAAAGAGGCCAAAATGTAATTCGAAAAAATTAAATCTCTTTAAATGTTCTATAACGCAAAAGCATTTTTCGCTATTTAGGCGGCTGTTACAAATATAACTGTTCAAACGGCAGCTGAGTGTGATTTGATGCTGTTAAGAATAATTGTGCAGAACATCTTTGTTTGACCTAGACAGAGAATCCTACCCACTTGCGTTAGCTTTCTAACTCTTTAATTAAAGCAGACACGTCTAACGTTTACAACATTACTCCAAGAAGAAATTCCCAGTTATCGAAAAGCGAGACAAAAATATTTGTAGTGAAAAGTTCCTTGGAGCGAACTGTGTAAGCGTACTACGCCCATAGCACGACGAGATTCAGTTTATCAAGATCGACCACGTGTCGATCTATTGTCAAAAAGGAAGTACGTTTGGGTCTCCGTTTTATTTGTTTTGTATGAATTTAGTCAATAAAGTAGTAAATCGTTTAGCTGTTGTTCGGTAAGAGTTAATTTATTATATCCGCCAGTATAAAACTACCGGTAAAGATAACGAATCTGATCCAACCGACGCGTCGGCCAACACGTTGACCAACGCGTCGGCCGACTGCATAAAGTGCCACAGAGCTTTCCTGGACTACCTCTGGCAATTTATCAATTTATCAAATTTATGCAAATTATCAATTTTTGAAAACACTTTTATAGCGCTTTGAAGCTTCAATTAATATATGATAATTATCGTTATGTCTGTAATTAGAACTGTAATGATAATGATAGTAACGATGATTACGAGGACAACAAAAGTTTCTTTTAAAAACTTCTTTTTATAATAACCAATGCACATCTCACAGGCGTCTTTGCAGCTGGATCCACTTCCTGTAATCACAAAGAGACATCTTGTGAAGGTGACAGGTGCCGCAGACAGACAACTGCTCACAAAAGAGATCCCGGACTTTTGCGGAATGTTTCCAATATATAACATTAAACAATTTGAAATCAACGAGAATGGAAGAGATGGTTAGTGGATACAATTCGCTTTCGTCACTTAGTTGAATGAACTCACTTTCAGGCTGCCACACCTGTTAACTCACGTGGAAAGAAAAAGAAGAAAAAAAAAGTTGAGAAAATAAAGCATTCGGAAGAACAAAGAAGAAATGAAATGGGCGAGAAATGCTCAAAACCTGTAACGAATGTAGATAAGGGGTAACTAAATGTACGTATTACAATGTTCATCAATTGATATTATATCAAGTTCGTAATCTATATTTTATGTAGAACTTTTTATAACAGCTTATGCTTATTGAAAAAGTCCAAAAGAACAACATTTACGCGTTTTTTTCTTCGAATGGTTTCTTTAATGTCAAATTACTAACACGGTGACTTTCCTTTCACAGGATCTTTTATATCGCATCGCGTCGCAAGGCATGTAGTATATCTGTCTGAGTTCGTACCTTGCAAGAAGGATTTTGTTTTAGAATATGTCGCAAGGTGCATGGATGTAAAATGGGATCTGAAATGTAAGATACAGTCAGATGCTTGCTTCTACAGGGTTCATTGTACAAATTTAGGGCCCTCAAAGCAGAAATGGGAGTGTATAAAAGTACATCTTTCAAATACTTATCCAGTATGCTGTGATTTTACTTGTCCTTTACCGAGACCCTCAAACTAAACTAAAAGCCAAAATAATTTCAATTGCAAATTATAAAAGTTTGATTTGTTAGTTTGCCCCTCTCTTTCATTGAAAAATTGCGACGGACTGATTGCTGATTTTAGTACAATTTGAACAACTGTCGTTAATGAATCTTTAAATGCATGCCTATTTATCATTATTGTTAGTCGATCATATTTGCTTTTTTTTAAACGGTTATGAAATCTGAGTGCCAAATACTTAAGTTGGACTAACTTGTACTAAGGCAAGTTTTTCGGAGACGAGTATGATCATAGAGCATCATTGTAGTTAGCTTGTGAGTGAAGTAATCTCCATTTCAGAAGAATTCAATTAAAGATTTTAATCGCGTTATCTTTTTTTGGTTCCTTGTTTGACTTTGATACTCCAGTTGACCATTTTTCTTTGAATTTAAATTTATTACCTTGGGAATTTTTTCCCGTATATCCACCCGTATATTAGTCACTTTGGCTGACAATCTAGGAAATTAAATTGCATAAAACCTGGGTGCAAATAAGCAACATTGCAGGGGTATTTTTCGAGCGATCGCTTAGAATGTCTTTGTTTTAAATATTCAACAGCGGTGTTGCTATTTTAAAGCCAAGGAAGATGGGAAAGAGGACAACATTGTCATCGAGGGTGAACAGTACTCCGTTATCGCGCATCTTCACCTTAGATTATGAGGCGCACCAAAATGATTCTGTACGGGTTGGCTCAGCATAAGCTTTTTGCGGTCACTTTCCTGAGGAGATTAGAAACCAGGCTCAATTTAGTAATCAAGCCTTCTGGTGGTTTTCACAATTTCTGCTCACAATTTCGCGGGGGAAATGTGGAAGCACAGTTGATAAAACAAGAACTCCCTTATCATTTCCCCTGGGTACCCCAGGAATTGCCCAAATATTCTATAACAGAAGGAATACATATATCTCTGGGGATAATTAATAGTATCCCCTTTAATTTAAGACTGAGGTTTAGGTGGACAAGCAATAATACTTTTTCACCTTCTAGTTACGCGATTGGGATCTACTTTATAGAACAGTTTTAAATATATTGCATTCCAACTCCACATAAGAAAGGGTTCCCTATCCACCAGGGGTTTGGGTATTCCTTACTCTTTTAATGAGCAACTCAAAAGCAATAAATACCCTGTAATATGTTTCATAGTACAACAGAAATGAAGACTGCTTGCCGTGTCAATCCAGTCACTAAAAAGGACCTAGAACTGCTGACTTATTCCAATTAACTCCGATGGGCAGAATATCTGAACTGGTGATTCTCTCTCTTTTTGCTTAGTGCAAATCAGTTTGGTGTTGCACGCCATTTTGCCAACTAAAAATGAGGAAATAGAGACACTTTTAATACACAAATTTACCAAATTAACTCGGTTATTCACTTCAAGAGTTTCTCATATCCCAGAGATTCACTGCTGTCAAGATACTCGTCCTAACTTGTAATGTAAATATTTCTAACCGATCGGTGAGACCAGTGAAGCATGAAGAAAATTTCCTGCGCACTCACGCACACATTGAAGATAGGTCGGACAGTAATGATTACTCATAGACTCAGAGCTGAGAAGCCTGGCTGTCTGCACAAGAAGTAAGGAATGCAGACGCGAAAGAATCCCACCGAAACAGATAAACGCAAAAACCCTGCTGGAGTCATCTTAAGGCATAATTTAAAAGTTCTTAAGGTTTTTTTTTTGTTTCCTTTCTAAATTCAAAAACTTTATCTGAGATATCTTCGAATTCCAACGCCACCATCTTTAGTTTCTTAAATATTCCCACTTAAACAAATATTGTAAGTCTCAATGCCATACACCGAAAAATGAAAACGAAAAAACAATCTGTAATTCGAGATAGAATAAATATATGAAAATCATATATTTAATTCGTTTTACAGATTCGATAAGAAAAAAAAAAAAAAAGGAAGAGCATAAATGTATTCGAATGCCGTTTCCTCCCCGGCGGGGAAAAAATGAAAAACCAAAATGGAAGTCCAATTTCGTTTTTTACACCACAAAAAAAAACCAAAGAAAAAGATAGAATTTGAGTTTTATTTTCCTACGCAACTGAAAATCGATTGGCGCTAAGGTACACGGATTACAATCCACAGGAAATCCAACGTTGGCGCGCGAACCAGTTATAGCTTAGATACGTACTGTTAATGCATGTGAGCAAAATTCCTACAAATGCCCGCTTCTCTGTCGATGTTTATACGAAGAGTCGCTCTCGAGAATTCAGAGCTCTAAGAGCATGTGAGAGTATTAACGTGCTCTTACTTTGATTGTTTAAAAAGATAGATCTAATTTTGCGAAACAAATCAACGCAAGGGAAGTTTGAAATAAAAACGAGATTTATGCTACTATGCCGGATAGCGCTGATGTAGAGAAGCCCAAAGTTAGCAACATTTGGGCTTCTCGGCTTTTTCAAATTGAAATCCGCCATCTTTGTTATGACGAAAGTATGTCGTAGCGATAGTCAACCATGCCAAATTATGTCCCTGCTGAAGTGGATGCAAACAAGGAAAAGAGCGGCGAGGCGAGCGCTACTTAGTAAGTTCTCGACTTGGATTTTAATCTAGCCAAGAAGGTGTAATACATCCATTTATGTTTGAAGCGAAACACGGCTCGTCTTCAGGGGATGGAGATGCCTTTGTTGAGGGGAAATAGAGAGAACGTCAGGAACATGAGTCTCAAGAAAAAACGGTCAGCCCGCTCAGTCACTTACGTCTTGGAAATCGCGAGTGGTTCTCTTTCTTACGGTAACTGTCAAGCTAGAGAAAGCTACGGATAACGAGAATGTATGCTCCTAAGAATTAAATGTAATAGGACACCGACTCAATTTAAAAGACAAAGGTTTTTACCTCAAACAAATCCAAGCTGTGGAGTAATAGTTAATTTGCTAAAGAAGACTGCAGCGCCTGCGACAGATTCATTTCACATCGCTACTTCGGAATGAGACGAATTATTATTACAGTTACAGGAGCCCAGCTTCGGTGCATAACTGAACACGAGCCATTTGGAACTACAATTAGCCCCAGTTGGCAAGCAACAAGTTAGAAATGATAGACTAGAAGATTATTCTTCGTATGCGTAAACACCAACAAACTTTAGTAGAAACACTTAGTTACCAAAATTAACGAAGACATGAGGCAGAAATGAATTGTTACGAATTAAACTTTGTTTATTTCAGCATTTACCTTTAATTTGCACTGGTGGTTTTATCTTTATTGCTTAGAATTAGCATCAACGTAGCATTTTTCATTCTGAAGTGTTTGAAATGTCGCGACTTGTGAGAAGTAGACTTTTGTTATTTTCGACGTGTGCCAGAAAGTCGCCTCTATCCTACACTTTTTACATTACAAATTACCTCCATATGACAAAAGCTAAAATGAAACTTTCCATTTCTTTTGAAAGTATGGTTGGGTTTCAGGTGACGTCACAAGCTTTGCTGAAGTTAGTGTCCGCCATGTTGGTGTCCCTCGGGTGTCAAATTTATGAATAATTACTCAATTTCTATAGTGAAGCCCTCTCACTTATCGCCGTATTATTTCGCCAACTACATGAATATCTAGAAAGAAAAAAGCGATAAAAGTATCTGGCATTCATCTTAAGGTATCCCAGTGCTCTCTGAGTATGCCGAAAGCTTAGAGAGTTGGAAGGAAAGATGTTTGCTAAAGATCTCGGTCATTGGGGTTGACCCTGCAAGCATACCAGCCGAGAAGTTCAGTCCAAAATGCTTGCCTCCTGTGGAAGCGTCGGACTTGCTGAGTTACCTCGTTCTTGAGACCAGCTTCTACACCAAGAAGCAGTTCAAGGCGTTCAAGAGTCTAGAGGCGTTTAATCAAATGGTGTCGGGATTTGTAACCTCAGTTGTAGGCAAAGTAATCGCCGGCAAGTATGCCGTGAGAGCACGAGTTTGGCATTCACAGCATATGAATGATCCTTTAGTGAACATTTGGGTCATTTCCGAAAACGATGGGACTATTTTGTCAGCCCATTGCTTGGGATGCAAAGCTGGACTGGCTGAGTCATGCTCACATATCGCGAGTGTTTTATTTATGTTAGAGGCAACTACTAGAATTCATGGCAAGGTCGCTGGGTGTCACGAAAACTCAGACACCGAAAACTCAGGTCCCTCGAAGTGTTCTCCAAGCTTCCGAAGTGCTCCATAATTCGATAGTGCATAGCATAAAGCATGAACCAATTTTTTTATAATATAACCGGTGGAATAATGCAACAAATCCGACGCGAAAGACGAACAACAATATCAAGAGTGATTCTTCAGTGAGGCGAATCGTGACGGCGCTGATGCCGAGTCTTCTTTCGCGTTGTTTTTCTCTTTCTGCCTCATTTAAGAACTCTAGCCCAAGGGTCGCAAAATTGTCTTCGTTTTGGGACTGGTGGGCCGAGTCTCTGTTTGTATCCATTATTATCGCGAAATATTTAAGAATTTTAACAGAGCGACAACAAGGATCTGTGCGACGAAGTACAAAAAGGTAAACAAACGTCCCTTTCGGCTCGTCAAAATCACGCCACATTTTAATACTTTGGTGTTGGAGCGAGCGCATTTGATCCCGTTAACTGTGAATGAAAAGTTCAAAATTAACGGGAAAAATGGAGGAAATCTAAGCTAAATGAAGTCTTGTGTCACTCTAAAATGTTTTAATACTCAACCATCGGACGATTTTGCGAAACGTGCAACTTGCGGCCTTGCTTTTGCTGCTTCAGTTGGATGAAGACCCAAAAGGTCAAAATACACGAGGGATTACCAGGAGTGATCATGAGTCGAGTTTATCTCTTGAATTTTCNATAAAACCATCCCTTCTTTCTCACATGAACTCTTCGTTAGATACGGTTTGTTTACGCTCGAGGGACACCAAGATGGCGGATATTAACCGTTGCTAAGGTATTGGTCACGTGGGTGAAACCCAAGGATACGCACTGTATAATTACGTCAAGCAGTTACTTGGAAGACATGATATATTTTTATATTATTCTAATCGTGTCCAATCGATATGATATAGTGAAATATGGGCACCTGCCTAACGAAGGTTAATTTCTATTTGTCGCAAACGTGTCTGTCTTGATATTTGCCACCAATGTGTTCTGCCTCGTCATCATGCGCACTGACAAAGTCACGTGAGAAAGCACTAACCGCCCGAGAGATTAGTGCATTTTCCCGCCTTGCCTGGGACGGTCAAGAAATACGAAATCTAACTTGGAAATCAAGAAAACCTTTCAACCTCGACGCAAACTGTCATAAAAGC